CGCCTTCCTTCTAATGAGGTTAAGGTATGTGTGTCTCATACTCTATGGGTTTCTCTGTTTCCTCTTGTCCTTTTATATCCTGACCTTTATCACTAAATTCAAACAACCACTGTCTCTTATCTGGCTTGTCCTTCCAACAGCAGCAACATCCGTGGTAGGCCTTAATAACGACCCCGGTACAGCCAGATGAAGCAATTCGATACATAGGATTTCTCCTCTCTCTCAGTGAATTTTTATGAAGTGTGTGTTAATGTGGTTCCCCATCCCTGTGTGTGAGTTCTTTGAGCTGAACTGAAGTCCTTTCAACATTCTGTGCATTTATATGGTTTCTAAAGAGTGCGAGTTATTTTATGGACACTCCGGCTATGATTACAATTGATTTTTTTTCCATATTCCATGCATTTACATGGTTTCCCACCTTTGCGAATTCTTTGATGTGAATTCAAGCTGTCCAAGTCAATTGATATTCCATGAAATGATACATTTTCTCCCTGTGTGGCTTCTTTGATGTTTACTGAGGCTACTGCTTTGGCTGAAGCTCTTTCCACATTCCATGCATTTGTATGGCTTCTCCCCAGTGTGAGTTCTTTGATGGCAACTCAGGTGACCACTCTGACTGAAGCTCTTCACACACTCCATGCATTTATAGGGTTTCTCCCCTGTATGAATTCTTTGATGTGTATTTAGGGCACTGCTCTGTCTGAAGCTCTTTCCACATTCCATGCATTTGTATGGCTTCTCCCCAGTGTGAGTTCTTTGATGGCAACTCAGGTGACCACTCTGACTGAAGCTCTTCACACACTCCATGCATTTATAGGGTTTCTCCCCTGTGTGAATTCTTTGATGTGTACTTAGGGCACTGCTCTGTCTGAAGCTCTTTCCACATTCCATGCATTTGTATGGCTTCTCCCCAGTGTGAGTTCTTTGATGGCAACTCAGGTGACCACTCTGACTGAAGCTCTTCACACACTCCATGCATTTATAGGGTTTCTCCCCTGTGTGAATTCTTTGATGTGTACTTAGGGCACTGCTCTGTCTGAAGCTCTTTCCACATTCTATGCATTTATACGGTTTCTCCCCTGTGTGAGTTCTTTCATGCGAACTGAGGTTACAGCTCTGACTGAATCTCAATCCACAGTGCAGGCATTGATATGGTTTCTCCCCTGTGTGAGTTCTTTGATGTGAATCAATAATACGCTTATGACTGCAGCTAAATCCACATTCTGTACATTTATATGGTTTCTCCCCAGTATGTGTTCTTTCATGTGTACGAAGATGATCAATCTGACTGAAGCACTTCCCACATTCCATGCATTTATAGGGTTTCTCTCCTGTGTGAGTTCTTAGATGTACAGTAAGATGACTGCTGTCATTGAAACTCTTTCCACATTCGATGCATTTATAGGGTTTCTCCCCAGTGTGAGTTCTTTGATGCCTATGGAGATGATTGCTATCACTAAAGGTCTTTCCACATTCCATACATTTATATGGTTTCACCCCTGTGTGGGATCTTTTATGTTTACTGAGGGCACTGCTGTGGCTAAAACTCTTTTCACATTCCATGCATTTGTATGGTTTATCCCCAGTATGAGTTCTTAAAGTGTAAAGTAATGGTAGCATTCTCACTGAAGCACTTCCTACATTCCCTGAACTTATATGGTTTCTCCCTAGCATGAGTTCTTTGATGATAACGAAGGTATTTACTTCGGCTGAAGCCCTTTTCACACTGCAGATATACCGTTTCTCCCCTCTAAGGAGATTTCAAATGAAATATGATTACTATTCATAGTGATACTTCTGTATTTTAGATACTTCTTCTGTATTCTATGCACTGATTTTGTTTTTCCTTTTGGTGGATTCTGCTATGCGCATTTAAAATCTGACATATATATGAATGTCTTTTCTGCCCATGGGACACTTTCTCCGTCCTTCTCATTTTTCTTTCTGGATGGCCAGAAGTTCTCCAACATCAGCATCCTGTGAAACTGGACATGTGCATTTCCTTATTGTTGCCTAGCTTCCCTTCTAATTGTTTTTTCCCCTTCTTTTTAGAGTTCCTTTTCCTGCTTCACACTTGGTCCTTTTTTGTGGCAGAACAAGTTGCTCTGTATAATTCTGGCTGTTTTATGTGTTACCTGATGAAGAAAAAGAGAAGACGATACCGTGAAGAGTGTCAGGTTCGTGATAAGGATATCTGATTTCCCCCAGGAGTCCTACAGAAATGTATAGACCTCCTAGGCAAAGAACATAAGCCTATAGTTCAGGGATGGTGAATCTATGGCACGCATGCCACAGCTGGCACACAGAGCCCTCTCTGCGGGCACGTGAGCCATAAGTCGCTGGATCGCTGCTTCCTCCCCACAGCCAAACCTCAGGAGGCAGCTGCAGTGCTGGCACTTTGATAGCTGGTGGGCCAGGATCTGGAGCAGCGGGTGCTGGATTCGGAGTGGGGTTTTGAGGCACCCCTGTGCCCGGGATTCCCCCTTTCACTGCCACTTCTGGTTCCACCGCCACCCGCTGCCCGCTCTATGTGCCCCCCCCCAGTTTGGGCACGTGAGCCCAAAAAGATTCACCGCCACTGCTATAGTTCATCATAGCTGACATTATCTCAGTGAAGGATTAATCCAAGAAGTAAACCAGAAAAGCTTCTACAAACTTCCTCTGCGTACCTCAGTGTCAGACTTTCCTTTGTTGCAATAATTCCAGGCAATTCCAAAACTTGTTAATTCTGTACGTTATATTAATTTATAACATTTCTAGGTTCGATGGTTAAAAATAGCAAAAAAAAAGCAAAACCAAAAAAAAAAAAAAAATCAGAGACAGTCATACAGTTGTGAGGAAAAAACCACAGCACCTATGCTTAAAAATGTATAAAAACTGAATGTAAGCTTTGGAAAAATACTTGTCTCCATTGTAAGGCTGTAACAAAATCTAGTCAAGAACTTTATTTTATTTTATTTATTTAATTTGTACCCCGCCTATCTAGTCAATATGACCACTCTAGACTTTGGTCATGTTTGAATCAAAAAGGAGGTCATATAAAGGACACATTTTAAAAGCATATGAAAAAGAATAAAGTGGTGCCTCGACTTACAACCATAGGCGTAACTCGAAATGGTCATTAAGTTGAAGCACCATTTCCCATAGAAACACAGTGAAACCCCATTAATCCATTCCGGCCAGAAAAACAAACAACCAAACAAAAATTAAACACTACAAGCCCCATGGGACTGGAGGCCGGAAAACAAACACACCAAAAAAAAAAAAACCCACACTGCCAGCCCCAGCGAAACGCCATGGGGCTGGGGAAAACAAAACACACAAACCCCCCACACACACACAGCCAGCCCCAGTGGAATGCCATGGGGCTGGGGGAAAAACACATACACACACGTGAACACACAAACACACCGCCAGCCCCAGCGGAACACCATGGGGCTGGGAAAACACACACGCAAAAACAATCCCCCACAGCCAGCCCCAGCAGAATGCTGTGGGGCTGGGGGGGAAAACACACCAAAACACAAAAAACATTACAACACATACCCACCCAAACCCAAACTCACCCTGTAAAACAGAGTAAATGTACTTACTCAGGAGCAGAAAGCAGCTCCAGGCAGTCCAAAGCCTCCTCCGATTGCATTCTCTCTAACCGCTGGGGCGAAAGAACTACAAAGAAGCAGCCTCTTTGCTGACCAACAGTTAGCAAATTTGAATTCCCCGCCTTTTTTCCCTCCCTTTTTCCTGTCACAACTCGAAGCTCCGGACGCAAGTTGAAGCAAAATTTTGCAGCTGGAGCTCGTCGCAACTCAAAATGATTATAAGTCAGGACATTCGTAAGTCGAGCTACCACTCTATAGCAGGGTACACCACTCTGTACCTCTCTATAGCATTCCATTTAAAAGTAAAAAATAATAATAATTTCAAAGCTTTAAAAGCTTTCTTAAAAATACAGGAAAGAACACCAGAGTCCTTATATTGGGAAAATACAAAATGAAAAGCATTGTTTAGTTCTAAGCATGAAGTTAACACACACAGAAAAATATTTCCTCACCCAGCCTCATGAAAAATCCATTGCTGGCCATGTTTTTATCTTCCAGTTTTCTTAAAGACGTTACGCTGCATCAGTTCCACCCTCTATTGCACTCCATGAAACCTAAGCATGTGTTTCTCTCCGTTCCCTTCCATAGCAGTGTTTGATCTCCCTTTATTTCTATCCCTTTTCTGTATCAGTAGCCAAAACAGATCTCCTGAGAGCGTCCCAGAGAGAGACCACAGCTGCAATACAAGGATAAGTCTTGACATGCAACTAACTCGAGTTACGACCAGCTCCAGTCACAAAATTTTGCTTTGACTTGCAACCGGCGCTTTGAGATACAGCTGGGAAATTTGAACGGCTTCCCCTCCTTTTGTCCTTCAGTTAACCGTTGATCAGTGAAAAGGCTGCTTCTCTGTAGGTCCCTAGTAGACGGATTAACCGCTTTTGCATTAGTTCCTATGGTAACTAATGCTTTGAGATGCAACCAGCGCCTTGAGATATGACCAAAAAATGGCCAGAATAGATTAATCACGTTTCAACGTATTTCTATGGGAAATGGTGCTTTGAGTTACGACCAACTTGAATTATGACCATCATCCTGGAATGAATTACCGTATTTTTTGCTCCACAAGACGCAGTTTCCCCCCCCAAAAAAAGTGGGGGAGAAAATATGTGCTTCTTATGGAGCAAATACTGTAAAAAAACAGACAAAAACAAGGCTTCCCCGTCTGTGCTGACAACCAGACTGTTCTCTGCTCCTTCCCTTCCCTCCCCAGACGTCCTCTTCGTATTCCGCACCCCACTGGCACAAGGAGCCAGATAAATCAAATCACCTTCCCCCAAAAGGGTTGCTATACCTTAGGAATGATGAGCAAGGCATCGGCGAAAGCCTGCACCCCCAGCTGGGCCCTTCCTTTGATGGTGGCCTTATGTTTCACAAGAGCATCGGCAATGGCCACCTCCAGGGCCCCAGCGCCTGGAACTACGCAACCTGAAACGAGACAGCAGGCATCCTTAACGACGTGGTAGGAATGACTGCAACATCAGGACCAAATGCAAGACACAGCTGAGCACATCCTGAAAATCAACCCAAGGTCCAGTTGTATTATTTACTAAACAGGAAGCTTTCTCCGTCTTCTCTATGAGGAAGAACAATAAACTGAAATCCTCAATTCTTGGTTGTATTTGCTTTCTGAAGTTCATACGGTTATTTACATCTAGGTTGGAACCTGGGGCCTTCCTAATTGTGGGATTACGATTACTTTGGTTAGTAGAAAGCAGGGTGGATTTAATTTAAATTAAAACAATTTAAATAGAACAGATTTGTTTTATTATTTTAATAAAAACGTTGAATTTTTAATTTAAATCCCATTTAAATCATTGATTTCTATTCACTCTGGTAGGCAATAGAAAAGAACTCCAGAAAAATAAAAAGGAATCTCAATTCTCTGGGTGTCACTCCACACACAGGCAAAATGGCACCACCCACACGTGTGGGAAGTAGCAACAGGCTCATGGCTACACCAAAGAAAGCAGAACAATGGCTGGCTGTCAAGAGGTGACCCAGACAGTTAGAATATAGTGCCATGAAAGACGACACTAAAAGGGGAACTTCCCTGGGTAACCAGTATGTATGGCTTCACTTGAAAATACGTCTGGCATCGCAACAGGTGTTTGCCTGGGCTGGCACCATTCTGACCCCCCCAAATGCAATTACAGAGGCTCTTGTCAATTAATCAGTTATTGATATGCATACTGATATAAACCTCATTTTCCCTTTTCTACTGTACCATCCTATGCTTATGTAGTATTTTAACAAGCACTGCAAACAATATGTGATTGTGGACTTGTTAAAATTCTATCCAGGTGATTTTAAAGGTTTACTATGTTACAAACAGTACAGAGACTGTGCGAGAAGAACTGGGTTCTTTCGTTTCCATCAGACGGTTCCCTTTGTAAGTAGCCCCCTCCCCTGCGGTTGTGTGTCTCTTCGACACCCTTAGCCAACACAAACCTGGAGAAGAAGCAAGGGCCCCCATAAAAAGCAGTGCACCCTAAAACCAAAAGATCCTCATCACCCACTCAGCCCTGGCTTTGGAGGATACGAGGAAATGTTAAGCCATGTTTCTGACCGAGACTCACCGTCCTCTATGGCGTTTTTGACAGCACGCAGTCCATCCCGAACAGCATCCTTGATCTGCGTCAGCGTGTGCTTGTTTGGGCCTTTGATCAACAGAGTCACCGAACGGGGGTTGTCGCACTTCTCAATGAAAGTGAATTTCTCCTCACCCTACGCAAGCAGATCAAACAAAGAATTATCCAAATGCCATTAAAGAAACAAACAAACAGTTCATCAATCCAATATAAAGAAACCAAGGGTATTCAGAAATGGATGGGTGCTTTCCACCCTCACTTGGGTCAGGATGAGTCCCCCAACAACTCTTACCAACCCAAAATTCCAAGAACACTATCTGCACAACTATTTTGCTGCTGCTCAGCAGAACACATTGTAAGTATGTGACTGCTTCAAGCTTTATGAATTTTACACCGATTCAGAATATACTCGAATATGCTTCCATCCAGCAGCAAACGCTTCTGCAGAAGTGTTGCAAGAAAACCAAGCCAGGTACTATGGCAGAAGGCCAATCTCACTAAAAACAAAAGATTGTCTCTCTCACACACAAACACCTACCAGCGTGTATTCGTAGACAAGGCCCGCGTGTCCCAGACAGTCTACCGAGAGGTCCTCCACTGAATTCATGGCAATGCCTCCACAGGCAAGAGTCAACCTGGGGAAGAAAAAGGCACGTTTCAGGGCATCTCTACATCATCCTGTTGGACACAACAAAAAGGATGCTTCACTCCTCTATTCCAGGCAACTCCACTTGCAAAATACAGATTTATGCCTTTGTAGAATAGAACAGAAACAGATACACCTGGATAAATATGGCTATCTACTGGATATTGCCAGCATCCCGTTGTTTCTGTTTCCTTGGAAGCAAACATTACAGCTGCTAGAATTCCTACCATGCTAGTCGGTGCAAGTAAAATCCGTGCCCTACCTTGTGTCTCTCTTTCTTACATCTGTGTACAGTGGTGCCTCACACAACGATGTTAATTGGTTCCAAAAAAATCAACGTTGTGTGAAACATCGTTCTGTGAAACACCATTTCTCATAGGAATGCATTGAAAACCGGTTAATCCGTTCCAATTGGAACGGATTGCCATCGTTCAGTGAAAATCCCCATAGGAAACATCGTTGAGTGAAACAATGTTTCCTATATTGGTATGTATTGAAGCCGACTCAATACATTCCAATGGCTTTGCGAAGTCCTTTTTCGCTCCTGTAAAAGTGTCTTACAATGTTTGGACGCTGTTTTAAATGATTGCAATGGTTAGTCCACCTCCTGAAACCTATGCAAACTGATTTTGGTGTTGTTCTGACACTTCGTTAATTTATGATGATTTTTTGTTTTTTCCATTGGAAACCATTAGACAGACCATTCAATGGTTTCCAATGGAGAAAATTCAAAAAATCATCATAAATTAACGAAGTGTCAGAACAACACCAAAATCAGTTTGCATAGGTTTCAGGAGGTGGACTAACCATTGCAATCATTTAAAACAGCGTCCAAACATTGTAAGACACTTTTATAGGAGCGAAAAGGGAGATCGTTGTGTGAAAATCCCCCATAGGAATATGGATGTTGGAATCGACTATGGGATGCGCAATCAAGGAGAAGATGCAAATGAAACCTTTATTTTATTTATTGATTATTTTTTTTGCCTTTTCATCACGCTCAGTTAGCAGTGGCCTTACTACTCTGAGCAGCAGACACAAAAAACCATAACAATAATAGGGAAAAAATAGGGAGTTACCCTGACTTAGTCACTGTAGGAAAAAGCCAGAGGAATTGAGCAGATAGGCGGGGTATAAATTAAATAAATAAATAAATAAACCAAGGAAGGAAGCGAGCGGGTCTCGTAACAGTAATAAATCCTGCAAAAATAATTCTTAGCAACCAAACAGCAGGTATGCACCAGCTGAGTGATCATGTCTCTTTTTAAACCAAGGGGAAAGGCATCTGTGGGGAGATCAATGCTATTAATTTTGTAGCAGATACTCATGCTGGGAAATTCAGAGTATGCGTTTCTCTCCAGTTTCAGGGACTATCTTTTAAAGAGGTGGCTCACATATAAGGGCTCACAGTAAATCCCCAAATTAATAACCTTGTTCCAGCCCCTTTTTTAATCCCCAAATAGATTCCCTGAAAAGAGACACCTCTTCCTCCCCCACCCCACTGATTCTGCCCCCTAACCACAGGAAAAGGCTTTTAAAAAAAATCTCCCTGAGTTTTAACTTCCTCCAGATACTCCCCTCCAAGCCTGTGTCCTCTCCTTCCCTCCGTCTCCACTCCCCATCTTGGAAAAGTTGCTTTTTCAAGTGAGCACTCCTAGGAACCCACTCCTGACCAAGCCAGCACCAGCATCCCAACTGGGGGACTCTGCCAGCCAAGGGGCCGAAAGGAGGACCCCCCCCGACCCTCAGCCACGGCTTTGGGATGCGAAGTGAACTGCCCTTTTGTCCAGTCTGAGCACGAGGCCGCCTTGCCCGGCAGCTCCACCTTGGCTGGCCGAGTAGAAGGGGTATGTGTGTTTCCTTCTTTTCTCAAAGGGAAAAAAAGGGACACCAGAGACAAAACAACCAAATAACCCAAGCAGTGCAGTTGGAGTAGGATGAGACCTTTCGGTCATTTCTTCCTGGCCTCCCTTTTCCCCCATCATGCATGACTGCTAGGCCATACGGCCGTTCTGCCAGGACTCTGTGGATGTAGGAACAGCCCCCAATAGTAGCCTTCCCTCCTTG